AAAAAAGGTGAGAGAATGAAAAGATGAAAACAAAGTGTTTGTAGATGGGGAGGGGAGGAGGGGCTGAAGGGAGGGCAGAGGTAAGGGGAAAAAATGAGAATCAAGACTTGTCATGTAGAGGTACAAGATCCCAACAATGAATGTAACTGTACTGTATACCTAAAATGTACCAATAAACTCAATTAAAGCTGAAAAAAAAAAAGTAATATACTTCACTCTAAAACTCTCAAGTATCCATATTTTTTAATTAATTAATTAATTAATTTGTTTGTTTATTCTTGTGCCAGGGATCAAACTCAGGTCCTTGTGCTTGCGGAGCAGGCGGTGGAACCACTGAGTTAAATCCCCGGCCTCAAGTATCCATATTTTAGAACAACTTCTCTAAGAGCTCTGCTCTTACAAATTGGAAGGGAACAGATTTCAAGTAAAAGTAAGTGGATGGGATGCACTTGGGAAGAGCTGTGGCTTAGAAATCATGCCAGCCTAGGCTCACATCCTGGCTCTGTGTTACGTGCTGCTGGATCTTGGATTCGTTACTTCAGCTGTTCTAAGCTTTGGTTTCCTCATGTGGAAACTGGAGACAATAACTACTTGGTAAGGCTGATCTGAGGGTTAAGAAAATGACATCTGATGATAACATGATGCGCGGCACATGGAAAGTGTCCAATCATTAACAGTAGTTCTAGTGGTGCCATTGCCTGCCTGGCAAGTGTAAGGTCCTGAGTTCAATCCCCAGTTTTGCCCCCCTCCAAAAAAAAAGTGGATTCAACTGCTAGAATCAAAGGCAAGAACACCGAAGCCCAAAAAGTGATGAGGCCAACATGTTCAGCTTATTGGTGTTAGAATAAGAACACAACTCAAGTGTGGCTTAGTTAAACTCTATTCCAGAGGAAAGTGAAAGAAAGTGAATGGGAGGCTTTGGGAAGCAAACCTCTTCCGATCCTGAAAGCAGGGATACATCTTTGGAGATTTCTAAAGCCAAATGTTTGAACTCCTGTAATTTTAGGGCAGCACTTGCCTCAAGGGAGTTCAATCTACAAGTTTTTCACTTTTTCAGTGTTATTGGAAATAGATGCCTATGTATCTGTGCTTAGTGATAATATAAAAATAGCGAAATTAGGTTTGTTATTAATACACTAATGTGATATAGGTAGATTCAGCTCTGGTTTTGGAGGAGAAGAGGAGATAAATATTTCTAGCAGGAAATGGTTATTGCATTAAATAACGGATCTTTAGAAGTCCTACCAATACTGAAATATCACCTACGAAATGCACACTATTTTATAGAATTGTTTCAGTGTTCTCACATTTTAAATTTAAATGCTATAAACACTGGGCTCTAATTTCAGCTTACCTCTGTCAAAATTGTACTGCTGAGAGATGATCTCCCCCCAGTATTTAGCACACTCTGCAGACAGCTTCTTTGGTTTGTCTAGTCGACGAATTGCTAATGCCTGAATATGTTTTTGGAAGGCCTCTTCTGTCATGTCTTCTATGGACTTTTCCATGGTAATCAAAAAAGCTTCCACCCTGCTTTCCAGGTAGTGAGGAGGCTTTTCTGACTGGATGATGAATCGCAAGCCCTGTATGCCATTGGCTCGACGTGGCCCACTGAAGACAATGTAGCCTGAAACACAAACCCGGTAAGTCGACATCTTGATGTCTGAGACTCAGGTCACTTTTCATCTCTCAGGGGGAATAAAATGTACTACTGAACTTTAGATTTACCTCTGAAAACCATCAGCAGTTAAGAGAGTCTCAGTTCCTAAAGATTGAGCAGATTAGTTTCCTGAAGAGTAGTCAGAAAATTGTGGATGACCTTTTACTTCTTAGAAAAAAAGCCCAATACTATTCATCACTCAACTCCTCACTCTCTGAGATAATCCCCATCAATCTAAACGGAAGTTATTCCCATTCCCATGAAATGCTGTGCTCATTTTCATCCCATACTCAATGTCCTAATTCTCTGTTTTAACAGCTAAAGTCCTTATATGAACCTAGCTTTATTACTGCATTTGTTAGATAACCTGTTCTTAGACCACTGGTATCTTATGAGCCCACACACTGCCACGTTTCAACACCTTTTCTAAACTGAGCTCTTTTCTTGCTTCCTTCAGCTGCTGCACACTGATCTATCAATCTACCACCTCTCATAACTTTAGGGCCTCCGGGTCCTACTCCAAGGAAGTTATTATCTTCAGCCTAGCTTTACAGTTTGAATACCCATACATTACCATATTGTACTATAATATTCCTTTATAGGTCAGCCATCTGATTTGATTATGCTCTCCTTAAAGGGAAAGACTATCCCTAACTTACCCATTTGTCTAGCGCCTAGCATGATGATTATTTTTTTAAAAATGATAAGTACCTGGAGACTCACTCAAATCCTTTTTCACTGGTTTTTCCCTGCCATTACGGGGTCTTCTTTGAACATCTCCCCTCACTGATCAAACCTGTCCAGATCTTTAAGTCTTCTAACAGTGCCTAAAATTCTGCAAACACTGAGTACCTTCTATGATATGTGTCCGGGCTTGGGATACAGAGAACAGTAACAATTCTGGTCCTCCTGAAACTCAAACTTTGGTGACTCTAAGAGCCTCTGGAAGGCTTGCTTCCTATCTTGCTGCCCATAAGTCTGTCCTTATTATCTTCTACTCCCTAACATGTCTTCTTTATGGACATGTTTATAATATGAAGACGGTGCCATCTGCTTTAAAGTCTGTAAGATACTGACTGCTTATTTTTTAGGAATGGAGTCCCTGGGAACAAAGCTTGCACAAGTCTCTTTGAATAGAGCATGCCTGATGCACAGTGCCAGGTGATCCTACATGTGGACAATGTTTTTGGAGGACAAAGGTTAGTGATTAAGGTTTAGAATATCCTACTAGTCCCCAGCTTCCTTCTCACCCAGCTGCTCCTTGGTGCGCAGGGTGTTGAAACAAGGTTCAGAGATAATCTGACAGAAGAGTTCCAGAAACATGTTCTCTGAGGTGCTCTGCATGTCTGTTTGGTAGTATATCTCGATACCACAATTATTGTGAACTTCATTCCTCTGCTGATACACAAACCATCCTCCTAGGAAGTTTCAAAAAGACAGCAACAGGTTAAAAAAATTATTTAGGGTTAAAAACGTCAATGCTATGCTTGCTCACTTTTTTTTTTTTGGTACCAGGGATCAAACTCAGGACCTTGCACTTCTGAGGCAGGTGGCGGCACCACTGAGCTAAATCCCCAGCCCATCTTGCTCACTCTTAGATATAACTTTCTGATTGTAAACTGGCAGAAGAGGGAGGGGTACTTGGACTGTAAGTCCTGCCCTTTCCACTTCTAGCCTTTTCATACATATTCCAAAATGTTATCTCCTTCACAGTTTATGATATTTTTCTTTTAAAACTGTAAATGTCTTTCCATGAAGAATTAAGTGAAGGATTATTTCAGGCATGCACGCCTGATCACTTGGCTAAATCAAAATAATTTAACACCCAGTAATTTGAGAATGGGACATAAATTGGGCTATGTTGGAGTGTGAGACTTGTAGGAGGACACTCAAGAGGTCAGAGAGTCTTAGGAGAGGGAAGAGAAAGGAAAACAGAATAAAAGAGGCATGAAAGATAATTATCACTTGGATTTTTTTTGTTTTTTTTTTGAGACAGGGTCTCTCTATGTAGTTCAGGCTGGTTTTGAAACCATTATGTAGCCCAAGCTGGCCTAAAAATTTAGTGATCCTCCTGCTGCAACCTCCTGGAGTGCTGGGATTACAGGCGTGCAGCACCACGTCCATTAAGTTTAGTTTGTATACTGTCCATATTTCGCCCGAAGACAAATGCTGTGGGTTTTTGTTGTTGTTGTTATTGTCGTTTTTTTAAAATCTTGGGTGCTAGAAATTGAACCCAGGATCTTGCACATGGTAAATAAATGTTCCACAACTGAGTTACATCCGCAATGCTATAGCTCTCGCAAAACAAATCCCATCCTTCCTTTCTGCTCTGTCTGTAGCAATTGAGGGACAAACAAGAAATATGCAATAAGCCATTTCCAGCTTTGTGAAGACTGGAAAAGAAGAGATGTGTTCAAGTATTCAGCAAAGATATCCTGAGACATCCTTGAGATATTTTACTAGCTACTTAAACGAGCCAGATGCAGACCCCAGCATTGTGAAATGTACAGTCTAATAAGACTGTCATGCACCTTACTCCAAATGCAAGAGCAGAAGGCCTGAGTAGTTTTAGTAGAAGTTCAGAAAACTGCTGGATTGCTTCTTGGCCTTTTGGCTAAGATCAAATGTAGAAAACTGCTGGAATCTCAGAGGCAGAAGTGAATACTTCTAGATAGTAGTTTTAGAAAAAGTTTAGGGGCTGCAATAGTTTGGATCTTGACTATCCCCCAGAGGTCCACATGTTGAAGGCTTAATCCCTAGCATGTGGCATTACTGGGAGGTAGAGGAACCTTCAGGAAGTGGGGCCTAGAGGAAGGAAGTTAAACCATGGGTTAAGCCATGGGGGGGCATGTCCTTGAAAGGGATACTAGGACTTTGGCCTCCTTTCTACCTCTCTGGGCTGCCATGAGATGAGGGATTTCACCCCCACATGTTCTCACCATGCTGTGCTACCTTCTACAGGCCTAAAAACAGTCCAATAAACCACACCAAAACTGTGAGCCAAAATAAACCTTTTCCCCTTATAAGTCGCTTTATCTCAGGTATTTTGTCACAGTGATGGAAAGCTGATCACTAATATGGTGGAGTAGGTAGCTTATATAATAGGCCTCGAAGGAGGAAAAGGGTGTAGACACAGGCTCATAAGGAAGAGGGGGGAAAGAAAGGGGAACAGGGCAGGAAGAAAGAGAAGAAAGAAGGGGGAAGGGGGAAGGGAAGAAAGGATGAAATAGCTGCGGGAAAAAAACAAAAATGATACTCTCATATTTGGTCCAATATACTTCCCATTATACAGTTTTGAACAATCATGAAATAATGACTAATTAGTTTTTATATAAAAAAACTACTCTTAATGTAAAAGTAACAACATTGAAAAAAAAAATTCTTTTAATTTTATTGGTACATTTAATGTATACAATATAATGACAGTTGTTGGAAATTTGTACCTTTACATAATCAATCTTGGTTCTTATTTTTTCCCCATTTCCCTGCCCTCCCTCAACTCCTCCCTCCCTTCCTATCTACAAAGACTTTGTTTCCATTATTTTTCATTTTCTCCTATTAATTCCATTCCCTTCCTTCCTTTCCCTCAAAATAAATTCTTCATCTTAATCCCCTATAAAATAAATTTTTGATGAATACATGTTGTTCTGCTTTGTGACTTTCCTAAAACTATTTCTGCTAAAGATTCCTGAGATTCCAATGAAATGCTATGATTCTAGCTAGCCTGCTTCTTTCTCTTTCTCTCGTCATCACTGCTCTAGATTAACACTTTGTAGAAATGAAACTTTCTGGTACATATATTTTTCTCTCCCCTCCCCCATCTTGATTTCAACAGGGATTAAGGTCTGCAGAGGCAACCAAAGTCCTGAGTTTGCTTCCAAGTACCAGAAAAAAAAAGAAAATAGGGTCTTGCTGTGTAGTTCAGGCTGGCGTTGAAACCGCTATGTAGGTCTGGGGATGTAGCTCATCAGTGCACACCTGCCTGGAAAGTGCAAGGTCCTGAATTTGCTCCCCGATGCATGCAGGGTGGGGATGGGGTGATATCAGTATATAGCCCAGGCCAATATCAAATTTGCCACAGTAGTCTTCCCTCAGTCTTGCAAGTGCTGGGATCATAGGCATACCTCACCACACCTGGCTTTAGCTTTCATTTTTTTATAAACTTTATTTCAGACTTTGGTCAATATTTCTTTAGTTTTGTGGTACTTCCTAACTCCCCAGTGCTCAAGTTCCAGTAAATTCCACTATTATTCTCTTCAAAATTATTGACTACTTCCAATTTCATATTTTTGGCTCTCCCATCAGAATATTTTTTGGCAGAATTATTTATTTCTAATTATATTTCTATAAATAGTAGGGAATATCTCAGTGAATCGTTACCGTAAAACAATATATTACCATATAAATGAACTGAATCACCCATATTACAATATCAAAGTCATCCATATCCAAAGTCGTAACAGTTCAACTTACTGTCAGGTAGCTGAACTTCTCTATACCGAACTAGCTGACTTGGAAGGAGAGGTTTTGTATGAGCATGTTCAATAAGGGTATCTTCAACCATCTGCATAATTCCTAATGCAGCCTGGGGAAAAAGACATCATAGCACATTACAAAAAACAAAAACATACATACCTTGTCTGTGCAAATAAAAACCACTGCATTGGATAGTCCGTTAAAATATGAAAACAATATGTTTATAAAATAAAGTAACTTAAACACAAAAAATGGATTTTAAAATCTTAAATTCACTTACTCCTATTTAAATGGATTAAAACTGAATTTGCCAGCCAATATGGTAGTAGTGAAGAGAAACAGGACAATCATCTACCTTGTCTATGATGTTGGGAAAAAGGTAGTGCCAAAGTTGGAGATGTACTGGTAATAGAAAGTTGTTTCCAAGAAAATGTCTTGACCACAGATATCTGGGGTCACAGCAAAGTTGAAGAGGTTACTGTGAAATAACTTGGGCAAGAATTATGTCTCTGCCACTTATTAGCATCTGGCATTGAGCATATTGTTTTGGAGGTAGTATAACACAGTGGTGGAGAGTAAGGGCCCTTCAGATAGACGGTCGTGGAAATTTTGTAGTATTTTCTGTGTGCTAAGAGAACTTGGCATGTACTACTAATCCTTACAGCCCATTAAATGGAACACAGTTCAGACATTTACGTAAGACTTCATATCTAATATTTGGCAGGGTCAGGACTTGAATGCAGGCTGGCTGATTCCACAATATGTGATCCTATACAAAGTAGGGATAGTTATTCCCATTTCTTCCTATGACTGCACAGATGTTGACGACAGCAGAGGAGACAGTGAGGAAAAGTAGGTCTCAGTTAACCATCATCATTCTGTCCCCTTTATCTTCTTCTACCTTCCTCCATAGAACAGAGAAGCTGGAGTGAGCTTTAATGAGCTTATCCCTGCGCTGGTTAACAGTCTTGACACAGACTAGAGGAAAAATACTTTGTATAAGGATCCACAATCACACCTACTCACCTGCTTTGTTATGTTTCCATGAACGAGGGCTTCAATGTGCAGCCGCGACAGGAGCTGAGGTATGAAGGCCTTAAGGCGAAGAAGGGTGACATCTATAAAGTAGTAAGAAATATTAAGCTCTACATATAAGTTTAAAAAATAAACAAGCAAATAAAAACTTCATATAGTATTTGAGATAACTTGAGACTAGAAAAGACTTGCAAAAGTACTAGAGTTCCTTTATACCCTTCACCCAGTTTTCTCTAATGTTAATATCTTTTGTAACCATAATATGATGATCAAATCTACACAATGAACACAGATACTATAGTATTAATGGAAGTACAGGCTCTATGTAGATAACACTTTTTCTACCAATGACTTTTGTTCTGTTATAGGACCTAGTCTAAATTCCCATATTACATTTAGCTGCCAAGCATCCTTAGTGTCCTCCAAGAGGTGATGACTTCTCAGACTTTCTTGTCTTTCATGACCTTACGACTTTTGGAGAGTACTGTATAGTTATTTTATAGAAAGTCCTTCATCTGGGTTGTTTAGCATTTTCTCAGAATTAGGTTGCATTTATGTGTTTCTAGGAAGAATGCGCTACAGAGGTAATGTGCCCTTCTCCGTGCCTCACGTCAGTGGTAAACAAGGTTGATATGCTGTAGCGATGGCTATGTTAACACTGATCACTTAGTGAAGGAAGGGTCTGACAGACGGCTTCACTATAAATGTACTATTTTATCATTCTGGTTATAATGGAGTAACTTGTGTATGCTCTACGTGCAATCCGAAAACTCCACCTGCCCACCAGTTTTCCCCACTGCAATCAGCATCTATTTGGGGGAAAATAATTTGTGATAATATAGATATTTTTGTTTCTCCTTAAATTTTACTAATTTTAGTATCATCTGGTGGAAACTGTGGTAATTATTACTATGGTGTCCTAATGGTCATTTTTTTTATTTCTCCTATTCCTTTTTTACATATGTTGATTTATATTTTCTGTAAGAGTTAATTGCTCTCTATTAGGGTAATAAATGCTACAGGTGGTACCCACCAGTCGTTACTACAATTAGTAACTAAAAATCTATGGAAAGGCATGGGAAGGCAAATAGTAAATTACTTATTATGGGTTAGGCATTTTATATGTGATGTCTTTTAATCTATAAAGTATATACTATTACTTTTTTTTTTTTTTTTTTTTTTAAATGTGTGTGTGTGGTACCGGGGATCGAACTCAGGCCCTTTGCTTGCAAGGCACACAGTGGAACCACTGAGCCAAATCCCCGGCCCCTATTACCTACGTTTTAAAGGTGAGAAAGCTCAAGAAATTTTGTTTCTTATGTAAAGTCATTAAGCTAGTAATTGCGAAATGGAATCTAAGCATCAGTGTGACCCTCACTCTACTCCACCGCATTGCCTCAGGGGCCCCTTTATGAGATCCCCCAAGTCTCTGCAGACTTCCAGCACAACATTCAACCCGCCTCCCACCCCCACTGAAATCACTGGCTTCTATTTATGCTTCACCATTAGACTGGAGCCCTTTAACTCCCCAGAAATGCTGTCTAATTGATAGCTTTTTATCTTGGGAGTGCAGCCAGGTGCATGGCAGGCAGGCAGCAAATGTTGTTGGACCATACTAAACTCTGAGGTTCTTGCTGTCTTGGCACCTGGGTAGCTGAATGACTTAAAAGACCAGGGTAGCGAGGCAGGGGAGCCAGCATCAGATACTGAGTTATCTCTAAAGTAAGCCACACTAGCATCCTACATTACTGTATCATAATCCAGAAGATTATTTATTACAGTTCAGAGTTTTAATGAAAAAAATTACTGTCTCTTTAAAAATACATTTTAGGAAGGTTTCATATGCCCATGAGATACTCTAGAGCTTATTCTTCTTAAAATTAACGTGCCAAGTTGCCCAAATTCTAATGAAGGAGGAAAAACTAAAGACTTCCACTTTTTGATTATGTTGAAAATAAGTTGTTTCTTGAAAACATATTTAAAGTCAATTATATGGCGTCCTTTTTAAAAAGTCAAAAGTTCATTATTAACTGCACATGACTCATAAGCATTTTGGAAAGAAAAACATAAAACCATTCAGATTAAAATGTATCTGCTCCAATTAATGAATTTTGTAATCTATCTTCCTACCCAATGCCTGAGGCAATTAAAAAAATGATGACTTTCAGTACTTGCTCTTGATATGTCACTGCAGTTATCAAAAACACAATTTAAAGTGCGCTGCACCCCAATTATTGAACTTTTGTGATTATACTATGTAAAAGAGAAAAGACTACAAAGAGGGGATGTTCTTCTCCCCTTGGAAGTGCAGGTGTTTATATAGTAATGCATTAACTATGACATATGCCTCATTTCTTCAAACTGTTTTAAAATATCTTGTCAGTGAGATTTCACTATGTAACCCTATGGTAGCTTTCATATACCTGCAACAGAGCTAAAAATGAAATAAATGTTTAAAAATTGATTTTCTCAAACTCTTGGGGCCCAGATATGTTTTAAGTATTCAGAACCCTATAGATTTTGGAATAGTAATTTTGTGCATGGACCATATATTACACACCACTTAAAGCATACTTAAAATATTAATATCTCTGTTCTAAAAACATGAAAATTCATACATAATTGCATGCCACTTCAGTCCTTGTTTTTAACCAAATAAATGCTGGCATCAAAAAAAAAAAAACCAAAAAAAAACAAAAAACCACAATTTATATACTAAGGGCTTGTAATAAATGCTCATTAAAATTGAATAAAATTTTTCTCTTAAATTGCCTTTTTTGGGGGGCTGGGGGTAGTACTTGGCTTTCAACTGAGTTACATCCCCAACTTTTATTTATTTTTATTCTTCACCCTAGCTTTAAAAAAATTTTTTTTGAGGCAGGATATTGCTAAATGTCCCAGACAGGATTCAAACTTGATCCTCCTGCCTCTTCCTGCCAGAATGCTGGAATTACACTGGCTAAATTGTATTTTTGTTTTTGAGACAGGGTCTCACTACATAGTTTAGACTACTCATAGTCCAGGATGGCCTCAAACTTACAATGATCCTCCTGTCTCAGCCTCCCAAGTGCTGGGATTACAGGTGTGCACCACCATGCCCAGCTCTGCATTTTACTTCTTATTGTTGGGCAGGTAGCAAACATTAACTGGTGAAGAGTAATGTAAGGAAATGAAAAATATAAAACAATAATGAAAGGTAACATCGTTTACATTCTTTCCGTTATTAGCAACCCTGAAAGAATTTCCATTTCTTGATTTTTTTTCTTTTTTTTTTTTTTGGTAGCAGGGATTGAAATTGGGACCTTGTACTTGCAAGTCAAGTGGCGGAACCACTGAGCTAAATCCCCAGCAAGAACTTCCATTTCATTCAATGGGAATCCAACAGACATACACAGAGGGCATAATATAGTAGATACTAAGTAAAAGGGATGAAATGAAGACATAATAACTGCCCTCAAAGAATTCAGGACTGGGCCTAGGATTTAGCTCAGTGGTTCTACCACCTGCTTCTCAAGAGCAAGGTCTTGATTTCAATCCCCAGTACAAAATAAAAATAATAATAATTCAGGAATTACTTTCAGGCAAAACTCCTCAGAACTGCTAGCACTGTGGTGGTGCACACTTGTAATCTCAGCACTTGTAAAGCTGAGGCAGGAGGATTACCATGAGTTTGAGGCCAGCCTGTGCTACCTAGCAAGCTTAAAGGCTAGATTGAACTATATCGTGAGACCCTGCCTCAAAAACCAAAAAACAAACAAAAAAGATTTTAGGGGAAAAAAACAAGGGGCCAGCCTTTAGGTTTTACCCACTAGTTTCTAACTGAACTGAACAACTATGAAGATGCCAGGGCATGAAAACGTGCCTAGCCCTTCTCGGTGATAAGCCATTCAAGCGTAGTCCATTTTTTCCTTCTGAAGAGTTCAACATTCACAAGGGAAATGATTGGGTCAGAGCAACTGGTCATCTGCAGAAACCAAGAACAATAATAACTAACTACGTGGGTACAGGTTGAAAATAACAGATGGGGTTAAAGTGCCCGAATGCACATGCCTCTTCAAAGGCCAACATTATTTTCATGAAAATTATGCACAGCTGGATTAAACAGAACTACAGGTTATTAAAAAATATAAATACCTGGTATTAGAATAAACCAAAAAGACCCTAATTAAAATGGAAGAAAGCATTAGGTTCTAGAAAGAGTAGAAGGTCTCACCATCTAGGGCATCCTTTAACTCGTCTTTAGTCCAGGCCACTTCGGTCATCAGCAAGCGGAGGTAGTACATGGCGTGCTGGTGAGGCTGTTCAGCCCGGAAATTGTTAAGAGACCGCATATACTAGTGCAAGCAGACAGGGGTTCATTACTTTTATAAACCTTTTAAAAATCATTTCAAAAGACTTCGTTTTGTATAAATTATGTTACTGGGATACAGTATATTTCCCAGTTAATGGGAAGTTATATATTTAAGAATGGGACCTATTCCTTTCCAAACCCTTAAACTAAAGGGCACACTTTTCCATTGTCCTGGCTACATCTTTACTCCTGGCTTCTGACATGTACTGTAAATGCGTTCTCTGTAGGAAATCATTTTATTGTTTTGAGGAGAGATGAGGTCCTAGAGATGAACCCAGGGCCTGGCCCATGCTAGGCAAGTGCTCTACCATTGAGCTAGGTCCCCAGCTACTATGGGAATCTTTCATCTCTCAGAAAGTTATCCTAATTTCTCAGGGACAATGTCTTTTGGCATAAGGCCATCTTAAGGTCATAAGGTCATGTTAAAAGTCTTGATAAGTAACTAACAAGGACAGGTACATATTGGATCTTAACGGAAGATTAATGGTAGTTTTCCATGGTGTACAATGAAGGTCACGGTTTACCTGTGAAAGTAGCGATCCATCCCAGATTTGCAATACTAGTCCAAAAAGGGATGGATTTAAGTGGAAGATACATCAAACCTAAATAGTGTACACCAATGTGACAAAGCTCTTGAGGCAGGCTGACCTTAGACTACTCAAATGTATTTATCTGAAATAAAGGTTGGGATGAAATCTGTAAAATATCTCAGACTACTACTGAGTGCTTCTCTTTGAAAGTTAGTACTGCAGCTGACTAGCTCTTGAAGCCCACGGAAAAGAGGGCCACTGGAGTCTGGTAGGCTTTCTTTGTGAGTATAGGGTTAGCAATGAGAAAGTGAGAGGAATGCAATAGGATTATGAATGTTTCCTATGCTCTAATCCCCTAATATTATTTTATGAATTAAAAAAATATAAAAATGAGTGAGAAAACTTACTGCTTCTTTGATAATTTCAAATCTTTTTTTATCGATCTCAAAAGTAGCCATTTTCTCAGTAATCTTCTTTAGCAAAATTGGCTGCTTGTCATTGTAACCTTTCACAGAGAGCTACGGAAAGAGTGAAAGGTATTAAGAGTAAAAAAAAAAAAAAAAAGAATTCCAACAACCTCCAAATAAACATCTTAAACTTGATTTTTAAATCAAGAAAACCCCAAAACTTAGAAAACTCCAATGTCAAGCATATTAAAATAAAAATGAAAAAAGAAACAATGAATTTAACTTCTCATAAATAGTTTAACACTGAGGAAGATAACATTAACCATCTTTATATTAATAGCCAACAGCGTAATTTCACTTTTCCTAAATAACTGAAGTAGATAAACTCACCTAATGCTAAACTATGGTGACACACACTACATCACATCAAACTTAATTATAGAATGTGTTTAATTTTAATTAATTTATTTTTGGAGCTGGGGTTGAACCCAAGGTCTTTACATCCCTACCTTTTTTTCTTACTTTTTATTTTTGAGACAGGGTGTTGCTAAGTTGCTCGGGCTGTGCTGAAACTTTTGATCCTCCTGCCTCAGCCTCTCAGAGTGCTGGGATTAGGGGTGCGTGGCACCATACCTGGTGAGAATGTGTTGAATTTTATCTTTTTTTAGTTTTGAGGATTAGAGCCAGAATATTGTACATGCTAAGTACATACTCTACCATTGAGCTACTACCCTTAGTCCCTAAGTTTTATCTTAAGAATTTCTTATGAATGATAGCTTTCAAGTTTTTATAGGTATATTAAAAAGGTAAAGATAGTAGAGGACTGTTACATAATTATTGGACATGTACCAAAATATATTCATATATATATTTTGTTTGTTTTGTTTTTTAGTACCAGGGATCAAACTCAGGACTTTGTACTTGCAAGGCAGGTGAAGCACCACTGAGCTAAATCCTCAGCCCTACACATACATATTTTAAAAAAATAAACTTTGGAGAAATTAGGCAACCTGGATTTTATATTACATGGCATAGTGCTATTCACTCAGTGTTACTCAATAAGAAGCCACAATTCTAACCATTTTCATATTTGATGAGTTTTGCTGATGTCCCAAAAGCCAATGGCAAAGCACCAATATAGATCCTCAGAATTTTGCCTTAGGATAATTTACATTCTCTGAAAGATCCACATTTTGAAAAGCAGGGAATGGGGAATGACTACATTCCCACACCATGGCACCCGAAGCAGTAATGACACCAGAGTACCTAGGAAAGTCTCTAGCCTGTGAAGAATGACAGAAAAGAACCTCAGTAGGAATAAAGGCCACTGGCCATGTAAAACACATCCTGTAACACAGGAACTGGGTTGACAATAAGCAGAATGCTTATTTTATCATAAACAAAAATTATTTGATAATATTCTGCTAAAAGTCAATAGCAAAAAGTAGAAAATAAATTACTTTTTATTGGAGTTCATTTTTATCTCCAAGTCTGAAAATGTCTGTAGATGCTGAGAATGATCAAATTATATTCATTCTTATGTATCGTTTTAAACAAAATCTACCAGAAAATTATTTATGTACAGGTAAGAGCCACTTAAAAACAAGTTAAAAAACCTAAAACTTTTGTATTGGGATTAAAAAAAAAAAAACACTCAGAAATGCTCTAATTTTAGGTTTTTACTAAAACATATTTTCCAAAAAAGTGAAGCTGAATATTTATCTTAAAAGGAATGTTAATTTGGAACTGAGATATGGTCAAGTTTGGAAAAATACTAGTTATTTCTTGGGATGCATTTAATAATACTTATTTTAAAGCACATGTAGTTAATAATTAATGCATGCTACAAAATAAATTGTTAAATGTATTTGAACAATGGAACTTTCTACTACGGTCCACAAAAATAAAGGTTATACGTAAGTGAAATTTAAGCACCACAACAATAACTATGGATATTTTCAAATTATAGATGGTAGAGTGCAAAAATATATAGAAAGAAAGAAAAACATGCTTTCAGGATTAGTATGTTAAACATCTCAAGCAGAACATGCAAATAAATGTAGCACACATGTATGGTCACAAAATGCAGTTAGCTTTACTAAGGCATCCGTGGAACCACTACTAATCTGAGTTCTTTAATTACAAAAAAAGGTGCAAAAAAAAGATCAAATGTCTTATTTAAAAATGCAGAAGTTAATAGTTTTCCCAAGTTCAACATAATGCTTAAACGGTGTGGTGCCTTTTCTTTGGTTTTCATTTTACTTACAAGTATTGCATTCATTCCTGATGCAATGTCATAGCTCAAACCTGAGAGGCGTGCTGCATATGTATACTCTTTTAAATCATCCTTCAATAACCTGATAAACAGGTATGTCATGTTGCAATGGAGAGGATCAGCATAAATGTAGCGACTAACAAAAAGAAAAACAAAAGAAATGCTTTGATACCTCAAGCAATGGCATGATAATGAAGAAACATGACTGAAGAGTATGGATATGCAGCCTCATGATCTGGATTTCTAGGGAAATAGTACAAGCCAACCTTATGCTTTACAAAGAGAACACTTAATTCTCTTTTGCCAAACATCAAGACTTCAGATATAGAAAGAGTGTGATTTAAACCTAGAGTCCAATTTTGTTGGAGGAGAAGGCAATATGATGAAAGATGTTAAAGAAAACAAAGAAATCAAGAAAAATCTGCATAATATGAATGATATATAGTGGAATACTTAAAATAAGAGCTAACTTAAAAATTAAAACAATGAGAAAATGATTAGCCATAAAGATTTTTTTAAAAAAAGAAATTAAACTCATACCCTCAGTCAAAAATGCTTCCATCAAATCAATATAAAAAATGTTGATGAGTGGAAGGCTCTAAGACATGGGTACTTACATACATCCCATAGATGGTATTTTGGAGGTCATAGCTCAAGCCTGCTAGCTCTGCTGCATATGCATACTCGTTGAGTGAATCTTTGAGGAGCTCAAGGTACAAATAGGCCATGTTACAGTGCAAAGGGTCCACATAAGCAAATGGGCTGGAAAAAAATGTTGACAATAAAATAGCTGATTTATTACTTCCCAATGTGATGTGGCCTTTTGAGATGGATCGAGAAATGAAATATCAATTAATATAGTTTCCTGAACGTATGGCTGAATTCTCAAGTCTGTTTCTTGTCATGGGGAAAAAAAGAAAAGAGATGTCTAAAAAATGAAGCCTGAATAATGCCATGTATGTGTACTGGTGGAAGTGAAGAGGGAGAAAGAACCGCTTACCCCAGATGGTGTGGTACAACTGACAAGACAGAAACACAAGGCAGTAAGAGGGAAGGGGCTAAAACACTGTGTAGTGGGTTGACTAATGGTTAACTTGTAAGCCCCAACTGACCCCAATCACTGTGGTCTGGGTGTGGAGGATCCACCTGAAGATTGTTACCAAGAGCCATAAAAAGAACTGGCGGGGAAGATCTTGACCAGTTGATTTTCTAGGAGAAGCTTGCTGCAGGTGGTTTTTCTGACATGAACTAGGCTGTTCTCATCGGAGGAGGAGCTCAGGACCTTGCTTTCACTGGGAATGACTGCTGCTTTCTTCAGGGGAGCTCTGATCTTTACCGTTAGCATCACTTCCTGGCTCTAATGTGGATCCCTCATCTTGGTGGTACAGATCCTTCATCTTGTGAGCACAGATTTTCCGCTACTGGCCTTTGGACCTTCCAGGGTGCAGATCTTCAATAGGACAAGCATGAGACATTGCTGTGGGCTCTAGGCCTCTGGCTGGACTCGAGGAGGACATTGCCTTGGACTAAGCTGGACTTGTGTGGGAAACTGCTGGGATCTAGGCCCTCAGCTGAATGCTTTGGGCTTCTAGTTTACGGTTAATCTCTGGCACTCCTTTGCATTTGACACTTGGGGTAATTATCATAAAATAACCTTATAAATTATGTGTCCTGTATTTAATGCATACCCTTACCCAGTCCTGCTGACTACAACAATATGCCTGTCCTCAGGCTAATGGAGGAAGCATGGCTGCTGGAGATGCTACAGCATTTGCATGTCTTTTTTTCTTTCTCTAATCAAGTCACATCCTTGGTGGATAGGAATATGAGGTGCAGAAATTAGTGTGCTATAAAGTTAAATAAATAAATAAATATATACAGACATACACATATATAGCAACTATGAAACTAAAAGTGAAAACTATGAAAAATTGTAAAAATATTATCTTATCCCTGAGTCTTCCCTCAAATCAATAAAGTTACAGAAGAATCAGTAAAATACTTTATTAATTCTATCATATAACTGCACCTAAAATTAGGGAAAAAAATAAAATAGAAAAATATTTAAGAAAGAGTAACAAAATAGAAAAAACAAACAGAGTACATAAGAGGTAAACAGAACCAGAGATCAACTTTCACATTCCAGATAAGAAAATAAAGAAAATGTTCATTTTCCAGGCAGGCAGGAAACCTAACTTCCTCAGGTCACCTGGGCTGGCCAGAGCAGAGCGGATTTAAGTGCAAGTTAAATGGCCTCCTCATTTGACTATATGACACTGCTTACCTTTATCACAAGCAAGTAAAGGATTCATTCATTCAATATCTATCACATGCTTACTACAGTGCTAGGCTCATCTCTAAGCACTGAGAATTAAGAAAGAACAAATCAGGCAAAGTCCCTGATTTTACACACCTTACAGTCTAGTCAGAGAAGAAAAGTAATAAATTGAAACCTGATATATCAGATGGTGACAGTGCTATGAAGAAAAATTAAACTGAGCAAGAGGAAGAGGAATGATGGGTGGCAGCAGCAGAGAGAAAGAGTGCTAGTTTATAGAAGATGGTTAATCAGGCCCCTCTGATAATGCTGACCTCTGGGTCTCCACCTGAAGGAAGCCAGACAGCAAGCCCTGTGGAACTGGGGGTGGGGTGGGGTGAGAACATTCCAGGATGAAGGGACCGCTAGTGCTGCACACCAGGCAGCTACCTGATGGGTTTGTTCGGCAGCAAACAAACTGCTTCACTCTATTTGTAGCACAGTAAATATAAATAAATATAATATGATGTACTGATAGTAAAGTCAACAATTGTATCAAAGTTGATAATAAACCAACAATAGAGGTAAAATGCTTAGTCATTTAGGCAACTAAAATTCAAGAGAAAATTGTACATCTATCACATTATACGGCTAGAAAATCTACAAGTATGATCTGCTATTTAATTGTTTAAAACATTATACATATTAATAAAATGATGTTCTTTAGGCCAACAATAGCTCAGAAATTTAAAACATGATTCATGAAAATAAAATCATTAAAACAAAGGCGTTGTCAGCCCCACAGGCAACTGTACAATTTTAGGAGGAAGTGAAAAGCCAGAAGAGCCAAGTTTGGGATCTCAAAGGCACATGAGTCACACTCAGGATATAATTCCAACAACTGTCCTAAGATAGTACATTCACATTGCTTTAGGCCCCAGCTAATTTTTTTTTTCCTTGTGCCAGGGATTCAACGCAGTACCTTGTGCTTGTGAGGCAGGCTGAGTGCCACTGATCTAAATCCCCAGCCAATTTTTTCCCACATTGTGGGTTGTCCCTTCACTCTGTTGGTGGTTTCTCTTCCTGTGTAGAAGCTTTTTTTTTTTTTTTTTTTTTTGTACCAGGAATTGAACTCCAGACCTTATGCTTGTGAGGCAGGCGGCGGAACAGCTCAGAACAGCTGAGCTAAATCCCCAGCCCCCAAGCTAATTTTTTAAAGACAATATAATTCAACTGTAATACATAAACTCTGGTTCATTTGTTATTTTAAAAAATATTATTTTGTAGTCAAATACTACTACATGCTTGAATATGTAAAGGCTGATCACAAGTTTGTAGAAACCGTAACTAGCCAGGCATGGTGGTACACACCTATAATCCTACTGCTCTGGGGGCTGAGGCAGAAGGATCACAAGTTTGAGCCCAGCTTGGGAAATTCAGAGAAACCTTATTTAAAAAACAAACTAAACCACCCCCTCCCCAAAAGAAAACCTTCATTAAAATGTACAAGAAACCCAATAGCAGTTACCTCTGGGAAGACCCAGACAAGCGATAGGAGATAAGGATTTGCTGGAAGCAAATGTTTTCAGTTCTAGCAATTGTGCTAGGCAGTTCAAAGAACACAAAAATGTTAAATAATCTTTCAAAAGGCATTCCAAAGAAATTCATAAGCATAGCAGCAAAATGGAAAAGTAGTGACAAGCTGCTTAGAGTGTTAAGAATATCACTTTTAACTGTCAAAAATAAAACAAGCTTCTATAATGCTCTTGACCAACAATAAGTCATGACCAGACAGCCCAGGATTGATGTTAAAAATTGTTTTTACATCTCAGCACAGTTCTAGAACATATGTATAGTATATCTAATGCTATAAGACACAGAATGTATTCCCTGCAATCTGCACAAGTTTATTGATGGAGTATTAACTATTCAGAGATTCTTTTTACCTCTTCCAAAACACTTAATACACACCTCATTCTAATTTCATGTCAAGACAACCAAATAATGAAAAGCTAATTAAAAAGCTGATCATCAGCTTGAACATTATTAATGAGAGGTCTATTTCACAGACTACTACATTTTAGAAATATAGTTATAAAGTATCTAATTACAAAGTATATACTTAACCACATAAATAAAAGGAGACAGAGATGAATTGAAGATGCATGGAGAAATCACTGCAACAGTAGCATTATTCATAAACTTTAATAAACATCATCTTCTTTTAGTTATTTTTTTCCCCAGTTCTAAGGCTAAAACCTAGGGTCTTGTACATGGAAGGCAAGCATTATACCTCTGAGCTACACTTCCAACTCTTGTTTTATTTTATTTTTAATATAGGGTCTTGCCTTGAACTCCTGATCCTCCTGCCTCAGCCTCCAGGGTAGTTGGTATTACAGGAGTGTGCCACTATGCTCAGCCCTACTTATTAAACAATTTTAAAGTACTCAAACCAGAGAAAGATCCAGATACTTAAAAAGCTGAAAAGGATTTAAGTTCATTTTATAACTACGACTCCTTCTGGGCAAGTTCCAGGAAAATAAAACTGAAAAAGCCCAAAATACCCCAAATTATTATTATTTTCTCAATGAATCTTCTGGGTTTGATAGTCTCTCCAGATTCCAAAATCCTGAAGGATAGGAAGGTCCTTCTAATAATAGCTAACATAAATCATTTCAGTTAAAGGGCACATTCATTATTGGAAAGAAAGATGTTATCAATAAGTTGAGTTAATTAATAACTTAGAACAATAGTTCTTAGCAGCAGCATTCTCCCATCTAGGCAAAATAACTCTTAATTCTTTTTATTTCTAGACCTGGATGCTCAAGAAGGAACAAAAACTTAACAAAAGTAACTTGATTTTTTATTAGTTTTATAGCTAGAAGCTTATTACATACCTGAAAAATTCAAAGTTGAGACAAGCCTTTGGCAAAAAAAACTTATCATCTTGTTTGAACCACAGTTTGCTCATGGCTGTATCCTGTAATGGAGACACAACTGGGTTAGAGAAATAAAGGCACATGCAGATAAAGTGTTCAATCAAATCATCACTCAAGAGGAGGATGAGAAGACCAGGTGCAGAGGTACACTCCTGAAATGCCAGTTATTTGGGAGTCAGTCACAGGAGAATCACAAGATTGAGGCCAGCTTTAGCAACTTGGGATGACCTTGTTTGAAAAGATATAACAAAACAACAACAAAAGAAAGAAAAAGAGAGAAAGAAAGACAGACAGCTAGGGATGTAGCTCAGCACTTGCTTAGCATGCACAGCATCTGGGTTTAATCCTCAGTACCAGAGTTAGTAAGTAGAAAGCTGGAGAGAAGACTGCTGACTCCACCAATAGCTCGGAATCAGCCTTCTGTATCCCCTCAAGATGAAGGCACAGTAGGAAGAGACAGACTGGAAAACCAATAGCAGCTGTCCTGTCCTCAGTCTTCTTTTTTTTGTTTTGTTTGGTATTGGGGATAGAACTCAGGCCCTTGCGCTTGCGATGCAGTGGGTGGAACCACTGAGCCAAATCCCTGGCCTGTGTCCTCAATCTTCTGAGCACTGGGAGGCAGACAGATGCTGGGACTCCTTTGCAGAGGACATGTGGTAGCCAGCCTCCACGTTGGCCTCCACCATCACTGCCTGCTGGGATTTACAACTTTGTGCAGTCCCCTACCCGCAGTGAACTAGTTAGTTTGCTTAAATAAAAGAATATAACAGAACAATATCTCTGAGATTCAATTTTAACAGACTCTGTGGTTTCCTTTGTTTTTTTGGAACTCACTATGTAGCCCAGGTTGGTCTTGAACTCACAGCAATCCTCCTGCCTCAGCCTCCCGAGTGCTGGGATCACAGGCGTGCACCACCACACCCAGCTTATGGTTTCTATCTTGATCACTCACTTTTCCCTTTTGGATCAATCACTTTGGGGGAGCCAGGTGTCATTTCAAGCAAATCTACAGAGAGGTCTGTGTGGTGAAGAACTTAGACCTGCCATCAACCTCACAGGTGACCTTGGCAGAGATATCTACACTTTTTAGTTGAGCCTGCAGATGACCAAAACCTTGGCCAACAGCTTGACTACAACCTCATTATACAACCCAAGACAGAAATACTAATTATGACACTTCTGGATTCTTGACCCTCAGAAACTACATATTAGTGTAATACTCATTGTTTTAAACTGCTAAATTTTGGAATAATTTCTTATGTAGCAATGGAAAATTAAAATAGCCAATAATGGATAGTCACTACCTTGACTTTCATTCTGCTTATGTCTTACTAAGAAACACCTTAGATATTCACTTGAAACTACCTTGAAACTCTGGCAAGAGATATACTGATTTAATGTTCTCCTGAGTTTACTCTGAGAAGACTGATTTAAAATAGATAGCCAAGGACTCTCCAGGGCACAGACTGTGTGCTTAGCATGTGCAAAACCCTAGGTTTGATCCCCAGCATACATACCAAAAAGCAAACAAAAACAAATAAACTCGAATAAAGAAGCTTCCTTTTATAAGCTAATACATAAGTTATTAAAATGAGTTTCTTTTTCTTTTTAAGGAAATATAGTTATCTCATTAATCTAATTGCTAGTTACTCTTAAATTAACTTTCATATTCCTAAACACTGATTCTTATCTCACTGATTTAATTTTAATATAAGGCCATTTGAAGAAGACAAAAAAACAACAAAAAAACTCTGTCTTTATAGTCATTTTTAGTATTTAAATTTAGAAAGGAGAATGTGCTACAATAATTTGATTTTTTTTAACACTCTTTACCCAAAGTGTGAAATAATAATGATATGAAAAGAATATTCTAAACTGGGGATGGTGGTGCACACCTGAAGTACCAGCACTCTAGAAGCTGAGGCAGGAGGATCATAAATTCAAAGCCACCCTGGGCTACACAGGGAAGTCCCAGGCCAACCTGAACTACACAGTTAGACCCTGTCTCACAACAAACAAACAAACAAACAAGAACATTCTGAAAAAGAGGGGAAAAATCAATTTCTTAGTCACCCTCCCCACTGACTTGGAACACCATTAGCTTTATACAGCCACTGTGTTGCAAAGAGAATTTTTTTTTTTTGCACTGGGAATGGAACTTGGGACCTTGTGCTTGCGAGGCCGGTGGTGGAACAACTGAGCTAAACCTCTGGCCCAAAGAGAATTTTTTTAAGGGAGGGAAATCCAACAGCTTCCTTTGGACAGGCTCTTCCTCAGGCTATAGACATTCTTTTTTTATCTCTAACTTTCATTATGCAGCATAAACCTACTTTCTTTCTGCATCTTCAATGAATATGGAAAGAGGCTAATTAACTTTCAACAGACTTATGATCATAGCCCAGACATTTTTTTTCTCCTGAAAAGACAGCGTTTCTCTAGATTCTACATTGTTTAGTAGTTTTGTTTGCCTGCTTTAACATTTTTTACCTTTTAATATTCTTGCTTTTGTTCTGTAATATTATTGACATCTCTTAGGATGTGAGCCTCTCAAATCAACAAAATATTCAATATAAAAATTATTCCTCTTCTTCCATGGAGTCCCCCCGCCCATTTAAAACTACTAATTTTGTACAGGCATACACCTGTAATCCCAGCTACTTGGGAGGCAGAGGCAGGAAGATCACTTGATCCCAGGAATTTGATACCAGTCTGGGCAACACAGTAAGATTTCATATTAAAAAAAGAAAAAAAATAACCAATTCAACATATTACCTTAACCAAGACCTGTCATGTAAAGGTACAAGATTCCAATGATGAATGAATGTAACTGTATAGTATACTTTAAAAGTACCAATAAACTCAATTTAAAAAATTACCTTAATAAGAGCAGGGTATGGTGTGGCTTCTTTTTCTAATGCTACAATCTCAAAATTCGTGGGAATAAATTCATTCTTTGTTGGAAGTTTAAATTTCCCATTTAAGTCAGCATTTTGCCATTTCTGGATGAATAAAACACACACACACATATAAAAGCAATTAGAATCTGACCCAAAAGTTTAAAACAGTATCCTACCTCAATATTCAAACAAGTATCAAGGAGATAAATGTCACATGGCATTCTTGTCCATCATATATAAAGGGGCTACAGCCAGGATTTGTTGATGGGCTTTCCTGAAACCTGAATTGGTCTTTTTTTTTGGCGGGGGGGTTACCAGGGATTGAACTTGGGTCCTTGCGCTTGCAAGGCAGGCCACCAAACCGCTGAGCTAAATCCCCGGCCCCTGGTCTTTCTAGTATTAATGAAGACTTTCCATTTAGCTATGTCTATCTTTCCTTTCCACGTCTCCAAAATGACCTCAGGTGTTACAGTTTGGGTCTAGATGTCCCCCCAAAGCCTCATGAGGTGGCTGAATCTAGAGTGTATGATGCTGGGATTAAAGGCATGTGCTTACTAAACCAGTACACTAATTAGTTTGGTACCACCCTAATACCGGTAGTCTAAGTAAAATAAAAAGGGCAGAAAGATGCTGCTAAACTCTTGCTTTTGTCACCTTCTGCTGCCATGAAACTGTTGCCCTTCTGCCACCCTGTTTTGGAGACAGCTAATTATGAATCGAAACCTCTACAAACTATAAGCCAAATAAACCTTTCCCCCTTTAACTTTTGGTGTGAGGTATTTTGTCTCAGCAAGGACAGGAAAGTAACCAACACATCGGGTTAATGAGCAATCTGAAACTGTATAACACAGAGGAGCTGGTCCACACAAACATCAGGTTTGTTCTGGGTCTTTAAACAATACAGTATAACCTGTAAAAGGGACATATTCCACAACTCACAGACCACACATCATTTATATAAGAATTGTACTTTCGGCTATGTTACGTTACTTCTATGTGTGGCCTGAAAGCCTCAAGGGGGCTTCTTTCATTTTAGTAGTTCTTAAGGCCTGGCCCACATCTCTCCCAGATGACCACATGGATTTTGAAGTGAACCAGCAGTTCAAGACAAAGTTAAGGACAAAGTGAGATTTCAGTTTAGATTAGCACAAGCCACAAACTGGATCTGTTATGAGCTGGTTCCAAAAGCTAAGCGGGATAGAATAGAGACCACCGATTGTTGAACCCTAATTTACATTTGTTTCTATTATTTCAAACAAACAAACAAGGGTAAGTGACTTATGGCATATGCTTGGGGATTTTACAGCTTGGTTTTGGTCCACGTATGTCACTTGACACAGGGATGGTGAAGACGCTTGGCATTACTTAAGCTGCAGTTAAGTCTCCAGAACAGTTAAGGAGAAGGAAACAGCAAACTATTTCACTGCTGAACTCCCAGATAATTTTTTTTTAAACTTCGCATTCAGACCGGGGCATGATGGCTTGAAAATTTGATGCCAGCCTGGTCAACTTAGCAAGATCCTAACCAAAAAAGGGGGTGGGTACTGTAGCTTAGTGGTAAAGTGCTTGAAGAGCATGCACAAAGCCCTGCATTTGAACCACACGTGGTACCATTAAAAAAAAAATTAAAACTATATAGTCTGTCTGTCTATCTATCTTTATCTCCATACCCATCCTATTAAAGCAAGTTTGTTAAGGTTGTGGTTTGGTGAATAGGAAAGTTCTCTTATTTTAGGAATATTTCAGACCCAGTATTAATTCATGGGAGATCAGTTTCCCTCATAGTTTAAAAAGATGGATTTGTGTATACTCCAGAGGGCTTCGGTTGATCTCTTCCTAAACTATGAGTATGTCAGAGACCCCTAAAGTACAATGATTCTTTTTCTTAAATTATGTCTTTTTTCTGTATTCTTATTACATAGGTGCATTTAAAAAATATTCATTTGAGTTTAATTAGAAACTATTCAATTTGGTTTCTGCTATTTCCCCATAAGTAATGGACCCCTAATGGAGAACCAAAAGAGTAAGAAAGAGAAAGAAGGAAGGAAGGGAGTGAGAGAGGGTGGGCAAGAGAGAAAGTATTAAGAAGATAAAACTCAAAAGCAAAATCTTGACTACTGATGAATGTGGTAAAATGAATGCGGCAATACAAATACACCTGCTTTGAAATTGTAATTCTCTTGTGTTAATAAGAATGACAACAACAAAACCAATGATATGAGTATACAGTATAATACTTCCAAAGTACAGTAAGAAAACATCATGAATTCAGGAGAGCACTCCCAGGTGGTGTTTCTTCCAAGACCATGAACCCTCTGGAGCCCCCACATCTGTCATTTGTGCTTCCTATTTCCTCACCTGTTCTTGGCTTTCTCATGGTCTTTTGCTTCTCTGTCTACTCCGTACTTCAGTGTTGTTTAACTACGTAAGGCTAGGTGTCCGCATTACAGCCTGGTATTTAGGCAGACACATGAGAAGACGGCCACATCGGCCGGAGATTTAGCTCAGTGGTTCCCTTCATGTCTTGCAAGCAGAGGGATGGTGGGGGGAGAAGGCCATTTCTTTTCCTGAGGCAACAACCTAAACTTAAAATCTTCCAGCTCCTGTTCACTCCTCTCAGGACAGTACAGTCAACACTAAGCTGTTACTCTCTACACAGTGGGCCCTGAGTTGGTAGTTCTAAGGAGCTTGTGCTTTCATGGTTCCTCACATGGCAGGCTTATGAACAGATGAGTTTACCTACCTTAATGACTTCATCTGAAATAGCTTCTTGTTTGTATTGGGTTCCATACCACTCTTCTGTGCGATCAGTTTTCCCTTCAAAAGATTTGGAAACAATTGCAACCCTAGAGGTATAAGGAAAAATATTAAGTAAGTTAAAAAAAAAGAAAATAGTAAACTTATGTTATACACATACATA